GAGCGGGGCCGGGGCCCTGCCACTGCAGGGTCCCAAAAGCAGGGCTCGGAGCGAGTCCCCTCCACCCCTGCAGCTGGAGGGGGGCACGTGGCACTATGGGCTCCAAGGCAGCAGCGACCCCCACCCCAGGGCTGCCAAGCCAGGGCCAGCTCTGCCCTGCTGCTCATGGGAATGGGGCTGGAATGCAGTGGAGAGAACCCCCAAAACCAATCCCACCGCCGGGCCAAGCGGCCACCAACCATTTGGCACCAGAGCCCGGCACCCACCCCCTTAATGTACAGATATTTGTATATACACAGCAGCAATCAGCCTGTTCCCATGAGGATGGTGATGGAGGTGACAGCAATGATGCAGAACATGTATACGTATACAATACAAGTATATGCTTTCGTATTGACGGTTAAAGAGAGTTTTAAGCCTAGAATGAAAAAATTCAGACCTTTGCTTCCTATCATACCCATGCAGCCGGCTTATCAGGGGCTCATCCAAATCCACCTTAAACAGTAGGAAGTGGGTTCTTACTAGAGACAGCTCATCAAACTCGGGGGCCTGGGGTGGCCCTGCCGCGAGCGGGGTGGCGGGTTTGGGGGAGGGGGCGGGCGAGGTGTAGGCTGGGCTGAGCGTGTCCCCCTCTTCCATAGTGCGGAAGGCAGCCAGGCCCATGGCATCTCCCTGGATATCATCCAGTGTCTCGGTGAGGGCTGCCAGCAGTGCTTCATTCTCGCTGTCTATTATCTGAAAGGAGGAGGCAGAAACAAGAGAGAGGGAATTAGGCTGAGCAGAGGGAGCCAGCAGACTTCTCTGGGGATGGACTTTGGGATGAGGGGCAGACGCTGTGTGGCAGTGGTGGCTCGGGCTGGTGGCACCCAGCGCCGGGGGGCTGGCAAGGAAGTGCTTGGTCGTGTCACCAGCAGCCATGCCTTCCCATGGTCCCAGGGGTAACTCGGAGAGATACTCCCAAATGAAGCAGTAAGACAGGGCTAGAGGGAGAAAAACTCAACTGCAAAAGGGCTGGAACATCCCTCCATCTGTCCCACTCAGTCCCATGGCAGCCCCGGTGGGAATAACAACAACTCAGAGCACCTGCCTCAGCACAGGCCGGCAGCGCCCCAGGGCAGCGGGGAGCCAGGCACGCGCTGCGGCACCGGCTGGGTACCACAGCCCGCAGAGAGCAGATGGACTGCGTTCCCCCGAAAGTCTCCAGCGTGGGGACCTCCAGCTCGCCTGGGACTCTCAGCCCTCATGTTTTACAGACAGCTACTCCTAGCCCCTGCCTGGCCTGCGGAGTCCAGGGCGACCAGACCCTAAAGACCGAGAGCAAGGCCAGCAGAATTAGATGCCTTATAGGATAGCTCTTCTGATTAATGTTTTAAGCACATGGAATGATCTGGGGATGCTGACAGGAGATTTGTGAGTGTCTGGGGCTAAGGCCATGCTGTCACGTTGCAGCCCGATGACGTGCGGCCAATGTGTGATGGGGCTAGAAAGGCAGCCCCTGCCTCGCAGCGCCCTGAGCTGCAATGTACAACTGCCACAACTGCACAAAACAGCGTGCGGGAGCACAGGAATGGCTGAAGTGAGCCAGGAGCTAGTTCTTCTTGGTCCTCCTCCATAATAGTCTTAATATAAACCATATCCAACAAGAAGCAGGATGCCATCAGATACAGAATTAGCATGGGAGTATAAATTCAGGTTCCCTGCAAGGACTGTTGACTGTAAATGGCCTCCCATATTTCTCTTATTTTGTTTGAAAATTAAGTATCTTTTTTTCCATGCCCTAGCCCTGCTTGAAGACACTACAGCAAGCTCCAGGGAAAGGCAGCAGGATACTCCATTTTTGGCTCCGTGTCTTTTCCTCCTGCTATTGGCACGAGACTGCTGTGCATAGAAGTTCAGTGGGATACATTTCATCATACTCTGCTGCTCCTAATGGGCCTGTCTTTTGCATTTCTTCTCTGTTTATCTTTTCCCCAGGAAGTTCAGCGGAAAATATGCGTCTCGTGATGAAGGTCCGTCAGCTGGACTGGACTATTTTCAAGCACAGCATCAGCACAGCATAAAAGCCAGAGGGTTGTTATTATGGCCAGGTTAGCAAATATTAGGGTTTTTTTTCCTGCTTTAAAAATAAATTATCCTCCCTCTCAAAATGCAAGCAGTGCCAAGCCCCAGTGCTGGCTGCTAGCGGGCACCAGCCAGCTGCTCTCCTGCACCCCTCCGGAGGGGCCTGCGCAGGACGGGGCCGGCTGAGGACACAGCAGGAGAGGACAGAGCCTGGGGGGCTGGGGGTGCACGGCCTGGTCCCACGGAGCCTCGGCGAGCCCCTCACTCGTGCCCGGGGCCTGCACGGTGCCAGCACTGCCCTGTCCCGCAGAGCCGGGCGAGCGCAGCTCTTGCCAGCAGGAAAGGGCAGTGTCTCCTTCTGGAGCAGGGCTGCCCTGCTTGCCATGGCCCCACGACTCCCCCGCCGCCTCCCAGCACAACTGCCAGCCGGGGAGAGGAGCAGGACACGCTCCGCGCTGCCTGCGATTCCGCTTTAATAATACATCACAGGAGGGCGGGCTCAGCAGCCCTCCTCTGCTCTGACACCTCCTCATTACCCTTACTCTGCTTGCTCCATTTAGACACCGAGCAAATTAATGGAGTGCTAATCAGCGGGGGAAGGGATATTAATAGTTGCAACCTTCCCTGCTTCCTTCTTCCCCCTGCATCCCCCTGACCTATGTCCTCGTGTCCCCTGTGCAGGGCTGCCACCTGAGGCTGGCGCTCGGGAGGGCTCGTGCTGCCCATGTGCCTGGAGAAGCGCCCGCAGGGGCTCTGCACCCCATCCAAAACCCAGCGTCACGCTGAGACTTCCCACTGCTCCAGCGGGCCCTGGCCAGGGCATACAGGGCGCAGCAGGGCCCCAGCGCAGCCTCCAGCCCCCCAGCCAGGCCCACGGCTGCACGTGCTGCCTCACAGGGACAGGGACGGGGCCCCAGTGGCTGCGGTACCTGGAAGAGCTCGGAGTCATCTGTGCTGTACTGGCTGGACTCGGTCTCGGAGTGCTCCGCGCACCACTGCAGCTCGCTGAAGCAGCTGGCAGAGTCAAAGTCGCTGGCATCCAACTGGGACAAGTCAATCTCAGGGAAATCGGAGTAAAGGTGCTCCTCACCGGACACCTCGTGCTGGGGAGAGAAGAGAAAGAGGGTCAGCCCAGCCACTCTCTCCTCTGCTTGCTGCCCTCAGGGAGGCCCAGCCAATGCAGGGTCTTGCAGATCACCTGGGGACACACAGGCTGTCCTCCCACAGTGACAACACCCCCCTTGCTGACAGTGGCTGATGGCAACAGGATTCAGCCTCCCTCTAGAGCAACCAGCTGTGGAGACCACGGCCCCAGCTGTGACCCAAGAGTTGAGCTCCATGGAAGGAGCCGGAGCTGTAGCCATCTCAACCGCTCCAGTCCATTACTTGGACCCCAGAAACAGCTCTTTAAAGTAATTTTTGATAAATGGCACACGGAGGAGCAATTACACAGCAGTCAAGAGAGTAGACAGGCACCTCTTCGCTGTGCATTTTGCCACAGTTTTGCCACTGTGCGTTTGTACAGCCCGACATCGGCTGGGATTGTTACTAAAAGCTGCCCTTCAACAGGCAGCAAAGCCTCGCGAGTCCCTCCTGCGCGAAGCTCTGTGGCAGGTGTTGAAATAGCAGTTTGCCAGCAGAATTGCCTTGTCTCCTCTGGTAAGCATGAGCTCAAAGCTGTTTGCACTCTTAAATGGAACTTAAGCTATTCCAGCCTTTGGTGAGGTGCGAGGGATACTCAGGGCTTACCCAGCTGCCCGGAGCCGGCAGTGCTCCCCATCCCCTTTCTGAGCCCCCTGGAATAGCTTCTGAGCTTCCCATGGGAGCCCCCCATCCCCTTTCTGAGCTCCTCGACCCCATCCTTGCAACAGGGCATCCCCCAGTGAACGCCCAAAGCTCAGGGAGGAAGGGAAAATTCTTCATGGGAAGGTGTATCTCCTGGCAGCCCAAATGCACCGTGAAGGCAGCGCAGACCCTGACCCCAGTATCTCCTCCCACGTCTGCCTCCCATGTGCGCACAAAAGAAGAAGAATGTCATAGAAAAGAATCAATGTCTGGGTGCACACAGGGCGATCTACGCTCTAGGAACCGAGCTAAAAATATCCATTTAATCACAGAAAGCAGCTGAGACCTGTCCTGTTTCTACCTCATTCCCAACTGCTGCCTTGCCATAAAGCTTCATGGCTCTCTGAGGAGCAGAACAAATGATTGCATTAAGTACCCGAGCGGGGAAAGCGGATGCCCGCCTGCCACTGCTCTGCCAGTGCTGCCACTTGCTGACAGCAGGGGCAGACCTCAGCACGCGGGAACGCAAAGGGAGGAAATCACATTTAAAGTGAGAAGTGGCCCTGGGCGAGTGCTAATTTGAAGCCTTCCCACCCTGTTTCCATGCCCCAGATTACACAAGCACGTGCGCACACCGGAGGCATCCGCTCCGGGCTGGTGCACGTGCCGTTGCTGACACCGGCTCGTGCTGCAGCACTGCTGCAAGCTGGAGCGCTGCTGGGGTCTCCATGCCAGCGAGACAGCAGCTTTCCATGGACAAATCCCTATGCTGGAGGGATGGGAGGCAAGGCACAGACCCCGCTCCCAGGCAGCACGAAGCCTGCTCCACCACCAGCTCGCTGCACCCTCCGGCCCCCGGCCCTCCGCTGGTTGTGCCCCCAGCCTGCAAGCCCAGGGTTCAACCTCAGAGGGGAAAGGTCTGCTGCACATGCTGCTGGGATTGGCTGCCTGGTGGGAGTTCTCTGGTGATGAGGGAAGCAAGTTTATTTACACAGCAAACGGATTTCGAGCAGACAAACATGTGAGCATGTAAGTGGGGCTGCAAAGAGAGGAAAAACACCATGGGCTCCACTTCTGAAGTGCCCTACAAGGGTCTCCTCCGCAATTCCACAGGAGGTGAAAGCAATTTAAAACAAGCTGCAAAAATGGAAAAGACAAGACACTGTTTTTCTCTTTCTCTCCTTTTTCATTCTGTTCTAGTTGGGCTAGTGTGGGGTTGTTGGTTTTGCTCCCCAGGCTGAGGGAAATGTGCTCCCTGAGGGGTCCAGGGCACGTGTGCCGCTCCGGAGGCACCATGTGCGCGTGCGCGTGCTGTCTATCCTCCGCACTGACCCGCTGCCTTCCCTCCCTCCCGCCGGGAGCACAGCAGGAGGGACGAGTGCTCTGAGGTCTGCACGAGCGGGGTGCCCAGCTTTGGAGCACGGCCGATGCCACGGGGCAGCTCACAGGGCTCCGCACGGTCAGCCCAGACACCTGCTGCCACAGCCAGCGCGGACGAAACGCCAGCAGGAACCCACCAAGACACCCGATCTCCAGGCACACGGGCACGTCGCCCTCCCCAGCGCCCTCCCCTCGGCCAGGCTGCCCCAGGCTTACCAGGTGAAGCCCTGTCCTTTCGAAGGACCTCTCTGCTTTGCCCGGCTCTGCAAAGGGTCCCATGTGCCTCCCACAAGGGAAGGCACAGGACGGGGCGGACAGGAGCTCGTCCGAAAGGTGCTAGGGCAGTAGCGAGCATGCAGCACACTGCCCAAGACAAGGGCACAGTTCGTGTCTCGGGCAAACCCTGGGAAGGCTCCAGGTCTGCACACTCCATGCATGCGCCCAGGCCAGGACTGCTACAGCTCTACTCTACGGGACGCCTCCCCTGCTCTCAGGTGGCCAGAGTGCAAGAGGCGAAGGCACTGCTGAAGCAGCAGCCCCTGAGGGCTGTCCTCCACGCTCCTGGGCCTGCGGATACATATTGGAGCTTTCCTGCTCCCGCTCCGCTCGGGGAGCGATCCCGCAGCTACTCTGGCATTAGATGCCTTTTAGCCTTTCGGATGTTCCTGTTACCTGTTGTGGCGTGCCCTGCTCTGCTTCGCCACGCTCACGCCTGCCCCAGAAAGAGTCTCGCAACAACTTTGCTCCCCCTTCTCCCCAAGTCTTCCCATGGGAACAGAGGCAGAGGCTTTTATTTTTAGAAAAGCCATACATACGTGCATATATATATGTGTGCGTGTGTGTGTGTGTGCATTCAATTAAAAATAGCAAAGCAGTCAAATTCTCCTGCTCCTTTTGATATGCCACAAGGGAAAAGATCCTGGTGCTGAGATCACAAGGAGCAGCTGACACCAGTGCTTGGGACGTCTTTTGATCAACTCCACAGATGTGACACGTCCCCATTGGCAACAGAGCTGGTAAAAATAAACTCCTGCAACCTAAGGCCACCTCAGGCGCTGAGCTGCCCTCCCTTGGCACCCAGGGGCCGTGGGTCGGTGCCCTGGCACTGCCGTGCTGCTTGCCCATCCCGAGGGAACGGTGGCTGTGCTTCCAGCCCAGGAGAATCCCAGGTTCCCACCCAGTGCGGACCAGAAGCACCTGAACATTCACGTCTGCTTTTATGGAGCCCCCTCCTCCAACAGAAATGGGGAAGAGCCTGTTCAGCACAAGAGCCCACACACCCGCCCAGCACAGAGCGGGCTCCGGCGAGCTCCCTGCGCTGCAGAGTCATTCCAGGTCAGGAGCAGAACAGAGCAGGGAAAGCTGATCCTGCCAGTGCCGCAGCAGCCCTGCTGAGGGAGGGCTTCGGTCTCCAGGGGAATCGATGGGCTGGAGCACCTTTAGCGTGGCATCCAGCGCACTCAGCAGTGGGAAAAGCGCTGCCTCTTGGCCCCCTGCCATGGGCAGGGAGACTGGGGCAGGCTGGGGGAGAGGCCAGGGTGGCAGGGGAGATGCAGAGCGCTGACCTGGTTGCCCTTGGGCACTAGCTCTCATCTGCTCTAGCTCTCTCGTTTCCCACCCTTTCCATTTCCTGCTGCCTTGGGAGAGGAGTGAACTTTTGTTCTAATTTTACTTGGGAGTTTGTAGGAAAATCAGCCATGGGTTCTTGGTGTGCAGCCAGCAAACACCCATGGAGACACGCTTGAAAATTCGGAGCCATCCGCCAGTGCCGACACCTGGCCCGTGCGCACGGCAGCACGGCTACACGCACAAAGTTGCAGGGAAATCTACAGCTTGTCTGATCGTCTCTGCCAGAGCAGGCGGAAGCTCGAGTGACGAGGACGCTGCACCACTGCCACACACCTACATCCCTTTGGGAGAACCAGGACTGAAGGCCCCAACACCTCCTGGAACAGGTGTGACCCATAAGCAGCATCACACGGAAAACTCGATGTGAAAGCAAAAACTGAAAGGTGGAGGGCACCTTGGGGCACAGTTCTTAAAGGCTTGTACTCTGGCTGGGCACAGAGCACATGGTATCTCCACAAATGTCAAGAACCTCATGAAGCTCAGCAAAAGGAAATGCAAAATCCTGCACCCAGGGAGGAATAACCCATGGACCAGGACAGGGTTTAGCAGGCATGGTGGTCATGGGTTCACCACGGGACTCAATGAGCTTGAAGGTCTTTTCCACCCATAATGATTCCATGATTCTGTGAATGGCTGGGAGCCTGTAATAACCAACTCGAAGGCAGCTTCTCAGAGAAGGACTGGGGTTCCTGGTGGACGCCAGGTTGAACATGCTGCTCAATGTGCCCTGATGGCAAGGAAGGCTGACGGTATCCTGGGCTGCATTAGGAAGAATATTGCCAGCAGATTGAAGGAGGTGAATCTGCCCCTCTGCTCAGCACCAGTGGGGCTCATGTGGAGTTCTGGGTCCAGGTTTGAGCTCCCCAGAACAAGAGAGACACGGACATATAAGAGTATGTCCAGTGAACGGCCATGGAGATGATTAAGGGATCTCCTATGAGGAGAGGCTGCGAGGACTGGGCCTCTTTAGCCTGGCACAGAGAAGGCTCAGGGGATATTACCAATGAGCACAAATACTTGGATGGCAGGGTGTAAAGAGCATGGCCTGACACTCTGCTCAGTAATGTCCAGTGACAGGACAACAGGCAACAAGCACAAACTGAAACACAGGAAATTTCCGCTGAACATAAGAGAAATGGTCAAACCTTGGAGCAGACTGTGGCGGTTACATCCCTGAAGAGATTCAAAACCCAGCTGGACATGGTCCTGGGCAACCAGCTCCAGCTTCCTCTGCTTGAGCTTGGAAATGATCCACAGAGATCCCTGCCAATCCCACTACTCTGTGATTCCCGTATCAGCCTTGTCCAAC